AGACTTAATCTGCTCATATTTCATTTAGAAACTTTGCATCAAATTCCTTGACAAAAGACAGAGCCGGGGCAGTGGGAGTGGGTGCTTGGTGCTGGTAGGAAAGAATTACTTAGTTTGCGTGTGTGCTAAGTTCGTGTCCTACTTGTGTCAGACTGTCTGCAACCCTATGACCTGTAGCCTGCCAGGCTCCTCTGTCTGTGGAACTCTCCAGGCAAAAATACTGGAATCGGTTGCATGCCCTCCTCCAGGGGATCTTCCTGACCCAGGGAGCAAACCTGGGTCTCCTCCGTCTCCTGAATGGGCAGGCAGGTTGTTTACCACTAGCACTACTTGGGAAGCCCATTGCTTAGTTTAAGGAAGGGTTAAAGGATCCAGGACTGTTTTGCTCCCCAGTGGACCAGGAGGGTTGGCAGAGACATCCTTTCTTCTGACTTGACCAAACACTATGCAAGAGTCGGACGTGGTTTAGTGATGACACCACCACGACCACGACCACCACCACAAAGATGGGAAACTAGATTTAAGTTTCTATAATGACACTTATAGAGACATTACTTTGCTAACAAGTGTCCATATAGTCAAAGCTATGGTTTTTCCAGTAGTCATGTATGGATGTGAAAGTTGGACGGTAAATAAGGCTGAGTGCTGAAGAATTGATGCTTTTGAACTGTAGTGTTGGAGAAGACTTGAGAGTCCCTTGGACTGCCAGGAGATCAAACCAGTCAATCCTAAAGGAAATCATCCCTAAATATTCATTGGAAGGACTGATGCTGAAGCCCCAATACTTTGGCCACCTGATGGCGAAGAGACGGCTCATTAGAAAAGTCCCTGATGTTGGGAAAGATGGAAGGCGGAAGGGGACGACAGAGGATGAGATGGTTGGATGGCATCACCGGCTCAATGGACATGAGTTTGAGCAAGCTCCAGGAGATGGTGAAGGACAGGGAAGCCTGGCGTGCTGCAGTCCATGGGTCGCAGATTCGGACGCGACTGAGCGACTCGACAACAGTAATGACGCTGGAGATCTCTGTCCAGGCGCCACTGGAGGGCGCGCGCAACCAGCGGAACCAGCAGGCATCGCTCTGCGGCGGTTGGGAAAGAATAATTAGAGCGCCGAGTTTTCCCGGCTTTTCGTTAGCTGGTTCTGCGGGAGTCCCGCTTTTCTGACATCCTCATTGGCTGTTGGCCCGGGGTAAGTCTTTGGTCAGCCCTTCCTGAGGGTTTGAAAGGGATGTAGGAGAGACCCAGAAGTCCGGGTTTACCGGGACCAGTCAATCAGGGCCTCGCACTGGTCTATCAAACAGGAGGCTCAACCCCTCCTCTCAAGACTTTCCAGTGGCCGCTGCCTTACTCTGGCGGCTCTCGCTTTGGGGTAGCCGAGGTTCTCCTTGGCGCTTTAGCGGGCTTCCGGAGCGGAGCCGATGCATTCCGAGTGGCTGTCATCTCTCTTTAGCGTTGTTTGCCTCAGATCCGCGGCACACAGGGCTGGATGAGCTTCGAGAGACGGCTGTAACCCGGGTGGATTTGGGGGGCTCAGCAGTGCCAGCCCTGTAGAAAACGGCTGGAGCGGGGGAAGGGATGTCTTGCCTTGAGCTGGAGATCTGGAGTCTGGTGTAGAGTCCTGAATGGGGAAGGAGATCACTACAGACAGCTCTTACCCTTTCCTACCAGAGCTGGGCAGGAGGTGTTCCCTTCAGCTGGGATCTCCCAGTGGGAGCATCATACCTTTGAGGGCCCTTTAGACGTTTGTATTTGTAGACATTGAAAAAAACATTTAATAATTTCAACTTTGAAGTTTTAGTATTTTGGAGTTAATTATATAGGATTCAGTCATATTATTAGTCCTTGGAAAACTTGTAGGCCCAAGGCGGAATGCCTATAGCAGGTAGTGGAAAAATTATGGTGCTGTCCCACCCTCCTCCAACACACACACAAACACACACATGGTTTTCAGAGAAAAACTGGCTCCCCAGTTCTCTGCAGCCCAGGGCTTGGTGCTGCTGAATAGACATTTGTAGATAAAAGGCTGAAGGAGTATACTAGAATGGGACCTGGGAGGATCCTTGCTAAACAATAAAATTGAATATGGAAAATGCTCTACAAGCCAGTCTGGCACTGATACTATGGCTTCCCTGATAGCTCAGTTGGTAAAGAATTCACCTGCAATGCAGGAGACCCTGGTTTGATTCCTGCGTTGGGAAGATCCACTGGATAAGGGATGGGCTACCCACTCCAGTATTCTTGGGCTTCCCTTGTGGCTCGGCTGGTTAAGAATCTGCCTGCAATGTGAGAGATCTGGGTTCGATCCCTGCGTTGGGAAGATCCCCTGGAGAATGGAAAGGCTACCCACTCCAGTATTCTGGCCTAGAGAATTCCATGGACTGTATAGTCCAAGGGGTCGCAGAGTCGGACACGACTGAACAACTTTCACTTTCACAGAGTTAGTGGTCTAATCACGTGGGTTTGGGTCAGGAGGTAAGATGCTTATTGTAGTGGGCACTGCCACTCTGGCAACCTGGCAAAAACCACTCCAGCATCATTGGTCACTGCCCGTCTGGGTCCCTCTTCTATTGCTCTGAACTTGGAACTACGAAGATAATACAGAGTCAGTGCCTAGGTAGTTTTAAGTAGTTTGTTCCTGTGTAGACGTTGACAAATAGTTGGGCCAGAAAAATCTGTGGAGGAAAGGATTAACTGTGGGTTACTCTTTGGATATCAAAGCAGGTACGGGGGTGTGGAAGGAAGGTTGCAGACTTATTTTTCATTTTACTCTTGACAGTGTTTTTTTAAATTTTTGAAGTAACACAAACATAAAAAATAAAAGCTGCAGAAATGAATAATTAGTGAAAAGCTTCTTTCTTACTCTGATGTCCCTATTTCCCTATCCAGAGGGAACTTCTAAGTTACCTGAATGTCCTTCACAACAATTTATGCAAAGAGGCATTTATGTATACAGAATGAAATCTTAGCTTACTAACTAGCTATCGGTGGCCCTTGAAGACAATGCTTCTGCATTGAAAAAAATGGAGCTGTGCTTCCCGAATCCCCCTTCAGTGACAGGCTTGCTGTCTAGCTGTGAGAATGCAGCAGTCAGCAGAGAGCCTCCAGCTGTCGGCTCCTCGAGGGTTTTCTTCAGCTGCATGTACCCTCCTTGTCTGCAGCTGCGTCTTTCCCAGGGTAGTCCACACCTGGTGGTTATAAAGCCTGTACATTTTGGCTCGCTGTGAGACAACTCTGATGGTCAGTGTTCACTCCAGATCTCTGTACTGGGTTGGTCAACACTTTGTGGGCTTGCTTATAATTTGACTTCCTTCTCTGCCTGATCAAGCTTCTTTCCTCGTTCCTTCACATATGTCTATTCCTAACAAACATTTTGTACTCCAAACATTTTGTACTCAGCACCTGCTTCTGGAGAACCCAGACTGTGATACTGTCTTGATGGCATCATCGTCCACCACTCTCATTATTTCAGATTGCTTAAACTCTTTGCATATACCCTGCTGCATATACCCTCCCTGGCAGTGTATCTGGTAAGGGACAGTTTTGCCTATGACAGCTGCAGTAGGGGTAACACAAATCATCATCTATAAATGGCTTGCAAGCCATTCTCCTAAGAGAAGGTCAGAGCTCAGAAATTTTTTTCCCCCTTTATTTATTTATTTATTAGTTGGAGGCTAATTACTTTACAGCATTGCAGTGGTTTTTGTCATACATTGAATTAGCCATAGATTTACATGTATTCCCCATCCCGGTCCCCCCTCCCACCTCCCTCTCCACCCCATCCCTCTGGGTCTTCCCAGTGCACCAGGCCTGAGCACTTGTCTCATGCATCCAACCTGGGCTGGTGATCTGTTTCACCCGAGATATACATGTTTCGATGCTGTTCTCTTGAAACATCCCACCCCCGCGTTCTCCCATAGAGTCCACAAGTCTGTTCTATACATCTGAGTCTCTTTCTTTTTTTGCATATAGGGTTATCGTTACCATCTTTCTAAATTCCATATATATGTGTTAGTATACTGTAATGGTCTTTATCTTTCTGGCTTACTTCGCTCTGTATAATGGGCTCCAGTTTCACCCATCTCATTAGAACTGATTCAAATGAATTCTTTTTAACGGCTGAGTAATATTCCATGGTGTATATGTACCACAGCTTCCTCATCCATTCATCTGCTGATGGGCATCTAGGTTGCTTCCATGTCCTGGCAATTATAAACAGTGCTGCGATGAACATTGGGGTGCACGTGTCTCTTTCGGATCTGGTTTCCTCAGTGTGTATGCCTAGAAGTGGTATTGCTGGGTCATATGGCAGTTTTATTTCCAGCTTTTTAAGAAATCTCCACACTGTTTTCCATAGCAGCTGTACTAGTTTGCATTCCCACCAACAGTGTAAGAGGGTTCCCTTTTCTCCACACCCTCTCCAGCATTTATTGCTTGTAGACTTTTGGATAGCAGCCATCCTGACTGGCGTGTAATGGTACCTCACTGTGGTTTTGATTTGCATTTCTCTGATAATGAGTGATGTTGAGCATCTTTTCATGTGTTTTTTTGCCATCCGTATGTCTTCCTTGGAGAAATGTCTGTTTAGTTCTTTGGCCCATTTTTTGATTGGGTCATTTATTTTTCTGGAGTTGAGCTGGAGGAGTTGCTTGTATATTTTTGAAATTAATCCTTTGTCTGTTGCTTCATTTGCTATTATTTTCTCCCAATCTGCAGAGCTCAGAAATTTGAGTGAATATGTGTTAGCATGAGTGACCTCCTTAGGCTATAATTGAATATATCTGGATGAGGCTTGGACTGTGGTCTTGTCTGACAAGTTGAAGTATTTGATCCTACAGACGTCTTCTGTTAGTCTTAGTGTGCCCTTATTTATTGCCAAGGCTGGTGAAGTCTAAGGGTCATTGGGTTACACATACATATCTTTTCTTTACTATAAAGCAACAGATTCATTCTGAGCTGGATCTGTGTCTTAATTAGCTTCTGTATCTCATACAGGATAATGCCTTGCACATGACGGAGGAAATTCCCAGACTCGACTTCAGTGCCTCAGTTTCCTTCCTGTCAATCTCTGGAAGGCTTTTCCTAAGAGGAGTCTTCCCAGAGCCCCATGCATGTCCTTGTTCCTCAGGCTGTAGATGAAAGGGTTCATCATGGGCGTCACCACAGCATACATCACTGTGGCTACTGAGTCCTTCATGGAGTGGGTTTTGAGGGGCTTCAGATACACCATGCCAAGTGTCCCATAGAAGAGGGAGACCACAGCCAGGTGGGAGCCGCAGGTGGAGAAGGCTTTGTATTTGTTGGAGGCTGATGGTATTCGGAGGATGGCTCTGACAATCCAGACATAGGACATGACCATGATCCCTAAGGGGGTGAAGAAGATGAAGCAACCCGTGGTAATCTGCACTGTGTGAATCACCTGGGTATTGGGACAGGCGAGCCTCAGCAGGACGTACATCTCACAGAAGATGTAGTGGATTCTCCGGGACCCACAGAAGGTCACCTTGGTCATGAGGAGGGTGAGAAAGAGACCGTACAGGACAGAGAGTGCCCAGCACAAGGCGAGGAGCAAAATGCAGAGCCTAGGGCTCATGGCTGTGATGTAGTGGAGAGGGCGGCAGATGGCCACGTAACGGTCATATGCCATCGTGGCCAGGATGAGGTTGTCCAGGGTCACCAAGCAGACCAGGAAGTAGAGCTGGGTCAGACACCCTGCGTATGAGATGGCTTTGTTCTGAGACTGAAGGTTCACCAATGTCTTGGGGATTGTATTGGTGACGAAGAAGAGGTCAGTGAAGGAGAGGTTGGCCAAGAATAAGTACATGGGAGTGTGCAGGTGGGAATCAAAGCTGATGGCCAAGATGATGAGCACATTTCCCATTACTGTGACCAGATACATGGACAGGAACATCCAAAACAGGATCTGCTGCTCTTCAGGACTCTCCGAGATCCCCAGGAGGAGGAAGTCAGAGACCCCACTCTGGTTGCCTCCATGCATTTCCCCAGCTGTCTGCAACATCAGCACCAACATGTATTTACTAATTGCCTTTGACTGAGTAAGGACATTCAGATAAGCAAAATCAACTATTTTCTTAACAATAAAAATACTTCAGGCTGGATTTCAGAATTTTTTCCATAAGCAGCAAAGTAATACCAGAGTAAAAAAAGGTAATGTAGAAAATCTTTATGCAACCTAATCATTCCAGCAACTTCTAATCTGGCATATTCAATATATGGAAATAATGTCTATGTCTTATTTTAAGTCCTGTCATCTTACAATATTTTTAAAGTGCCTAAAGATTTAGTATGCTCTATTTTGATATTGCATAAATTTGAAATAGGTATATGCATTATAGCAAATGGATATTATACAATTGGACAAAGGGGAAAAGTAAAAATATTGGAAGGGAAAAGAAAAATGTATCACTATTTACTGATAAAATGATCTGGGAAGCCTAAGACAGTCAACCAAAATGCCGTTGAAAATGAACAAAGGTATATGAGGTTGTGGAGTAAAAAGTACCCAGATCATGCTAGCCTTGTTAAGATTTTAAAAATTTTATACTGTGTAAAAGGTTTAAGCAGAATGACCAACATAAACTGATTTAAGCAGCGGTGTATGTATATATTAGCAACTATCTTTGTTTGTATTTTACCAATAGTGTTTCAAAAATCAGGTGTAGCTGTTGCATTTTTAACCAGATATTTTTCAGTGCCTATCATGAGACACTATGCTTTTCTAATATTTAAAAATACTGCCAAGGGGCAGCTAAGCCCATGCACCACAAACAGCACATGTACTGCAATGAAGACCTAGAACAGTCAAAAAACAGAAGCAAAAAAATATGTTAACACTCCTGGTTTAAATTACTTGTCATGTTTTATTTAGGCTTTTGTAGTTGTATTTATTAATATAAATGAGGTTTATCTGTAGTTTCTTTTTTGTACGTGTCATCTTTATCATCTTTTTGGTATGATTTGGTGTGCATTAGATTTAAAATTAAACTTGCTTTCATTTATTGTCAATTTCTAATGTTTAGAATTTGTTGGAATTTCTTCAGCAGCTTAAGATATGAATTTTAAAATATATTACATGGAATTATTTTTCCAAATAAAAATAGCTTCTATACTCTGTTGGAATCTATTGATTAAAAGCAAAAAATTTCCAGTGTGAATCATTCAAGCAGTACAGAAAAATTAAAACTAAAATGAAAGCTTAATTTAGCCAAGATGATTAGTCAAGAAAAATGATTAAAAGACATCTTTGGCCACCTGATGCAAAGAGCTGACTCATTTGAAAAGACCCTGATGCTGGGAAAGATTGAGGGCAGGAGGAGAAGGGATGGAAGGAGAAGGACAGAGGATGAGATGGTTGGATGGCATCACCGACTCAATGGACATGGGTTTGGGTGGACTCCGGGAGTTGGTAATGGACGGGAAGGACTGGTGTGCTGCGGTTCATGGGGTTGCAGAGAGTTGGACACGACTGAGCGACTGAACTGAACTGAACTCTGAGGTTGGAAATGAGGAATTACAGTATCTCTCTGCACAGATGACATGATCTTGCATATAGTAAATCTTATTAAATATTCCTACTATAAAACTACTACAACTAATAAATGAAGTCAGATAGATTGCACAGCAAGTTCAATATAGAAAAATTGATTGCATTTTTTATACTTGCAATAAATAATTTCATTCATAATTGCATCAAATAGAAAATGATCTTTAGGAATAAATTTAACAAAAATTCAAAATTTGTACTCTGAAGACTACAAATATTGTTGAAAGAAATTAAAGATCTAGATAATCAGAAAAAAAAAAACAACCCATGCTCATGGATTGGAAGACTTAATATTGTTAAGATGGCATAGTCCCCAACTTGATCTATAGACTAAATACAGCCTCTATCAGAATCCCAGCTGATTTCTTTGTAGAACTTCATGTAAATTGATTCAAAAATCCATGTGAAAGTGCATGGGATCCAGAATAGCCAAAACCGTCTTGAAAAACAAAAACAGATTTGGAGGATTCCATGTCCCAATTTCAAAGCTTACTACAAAGCAATAAAGATAGACATATAGATCAATGGGATAGAATTGAGATTCCAGAAATAAACTCATGTGTCTGTGGTCAACTGATTTTCAACAAAGATGTCAAGATCAGCGGGAAAAAGATGTTTTCAATGAATAGTTCTGGGCCACCAGGATAGCCATGTGCCAAAGAGGTGAACCCTTACCTCACACTGTATGCAAAATTTGACTCAAAATTGATGAATGACACAGATATAAGAGCTAACACTACGAAAGGCTCAGAAGAAAACAGGCAAATCTTCAAACCTTAGATTTGGCAAAGAGTTTTAGATATGACACCAAAAGCAACAGAAGAAAAAAATAAATTCAATTTAATCAAAATTAAAAATGTTTGTGCTCCCAGTGACACTATCAAGAAAGTACAAATACTTCCACAGTGGTAGAAAATATTTGTAAATTATATATCTGATAAGGCATTTACATGTAGAATATATAAAGAACTCTAATAACCAAATAATGAAAAGAAAAATGACCCAATTAAAAGCAGGCAAAGATTCTGAAGGCATTTTTCCAAGGAAGATACACAAATGGCCAGTAGGCACACAGCAAGATGCTGCACATCATTAGTCATCAGGGAAATGCAAATGAAGGCCACCATTTTACACCCTCTAGGAACAATTCAAATAATAAACAATTCAGAAAATAAGAAGCCTTTGCAAGGAGGTAAAGAAATCAGAACACTCCTATACTGCCAATGGGAATGAAAAATGGTGCAGCCATTTTGGACACAGTCTAGCATTTCCTCAAAAGGCTAATCAGAGTTACCAAATGACTCAGCAGTTCCACTCTAGGTATCTCCCAGGAGAAATGAAAACATAGGTCCAAATACAAACTTGTACATGAATGTTTATAGCAGCATTATAAGTTCAAACAATAAGGAATCTGCCTGCAAAGCAGGAGACCATGGTTCCATCCCTGGGTCGGATCCCCTGGAGGTCATGGCAACCCACTCCAGTATTCTTGCCTGGAGAATCCCATGGACAGAGGAGCCTGGTGGGGTAAAGTCCATGGGGTCACAAAGAGTTGGACATGACTGAGCAACTAACACACACATAATGCTCCAAAGGTGNGGTCGGATCCCCTGGAGGTCATGGCAACCCACTCCAGTATTCTTGCCTGGAGAATCCCATGGACAGAGGAGCCTGGTGGGGTAAAGTCCATGGGGTCACAAAGAGTTGGACATGACTGAGCAACTAACACACACATAATGCTCCAAAGGTGGAAATAATCTATATGTTTGTTTCTTGGGCATGGATAAACAAAATGTGGCACATCCATACAATAGAACATTATTCAGCCATAAAAAGGAATGAATTTCTAGTACATGCTGCAACATGGATGAACCTTGAAAGCATGAAAGAAGCCAGTCACGAAAGACCACATATGATATTATTCCATTCATATGGAAGGCCAGAATAGGGAAATCTATAGAGACAGGAAGTAAATTAGTGGTTGCTTACACCTGAGAGAAGGGTGATGGGTAAGAAGCAGACAGCTGAATAATACAGGGTTTCTTTTGGAGGTGATGGAAGCATTCTAGATTTTTTTCTTCTTAATTATTTTATTAAATTTTTTTTATTAGAGTAATTATATGATTTACAGTGTTGTGTTAATTTCAAGTGCACAGCAAAGTGAATCAGTTATACGTATACATATATCCACTCTGTTTTAGATTCTTTTTTCATCTTTTTCCTCAGCCTCCTATTGTCTTCATAAAAGGTAACCATGGGATTGAAGCTGCAGTCAGTGCCTTTTTGCTCTGAGCCCAGGGCAGTTCCTGACATATTTTAGGGTCTTTCTCCCTGTTCCACTGACTGCTTCATCCCTTGCTGTTCCTTACTTACTGATTTTCCAGGACCTCATTGAAGAGAATCACCACCAGTTTTCTCCCCAGCAAAAACTTTGCACTGAATCTGCTGGGTCTTTTGACACCTTACAGCTTGTCCCTCAATCCAAGCCCATTGATCCACATCATGCAAAGATTCCTCTTAAGTTCTTGATTTATGATGTCACCTGTTCTCCAGAGTGGTTTTCAATTTTTAAATTACTTTTTAAATTTCTTTGGTAATTTTGAAGTGGAATATTTGCAAAGGAGGGAAGTGAATATCGTTTCTCTTTTTCTCTATTACATTGTTTCATTGGGAAAAAAAGCATTGATATGGGAACTGTCTTCACAAGAACGGCATTGAAGGAGAAGAATACAATGAAAAGTTATGTCATATTTTATTTCATAAAAGTAAAAGACCTCCTTCACCAAAACACTATAATACAGCAGCAAAACATGAACAAACAAGAATGCCAGAAAGGAAAAATTCTTGCCATGGATGTGATATGCAAAGTCTTAAAATGCTAAAAAGAGAAAGATCTAGTTAAGTTAGTAATAAAATTACCACTGCCTCCCCCCCCACTGGAACAGACAGGAACATGCAATTCATAAAAGAAGAAATTCAAAGTCATTGAACACATGAACAAACATTACTTATCAAAAGATGGGATGAACAGACAGTTTTATATCTGATGAAAGGAAATAATTAAGAACAATGTTCTAGAAGGAAACTTGACATTCCATGTCATAGGCTCTTAAATAAAGTATCCCTTTGAGCAGTTCCAGTAATGGTAAAGAACCCGCTTGTAAATGCAGGAGATACCAGAGATGTGGGTTCAATCCCTGGGTTGGGAAGATCCCCTGGAGTAGGAAATGACAACCCACTCCAGTATTCTTGCCTGAAAAAGTCCATGGACAGAGGAGCCTGGAGGGCTACAGTCCATGGAGTTGCAAAGAGTTGGACATGACTATGCATGCACTGACACACAGTTTTATGGATTTATCTTGAAGTACAATCAGACAGAAACTTAGATATGTATGTGTAAGGTGTTTGTTAGGACTTCACTCTGAGAATGAATTCATTTGCAGCAAGGCTTCAATGATTCTGATTGTGTACTTCGGGAAACACTGACCTGAGTCTGTTTAAGAGTCAGCGGGTTCTGAACACTTGTGTGGTCAAATGGTCATACAGACACAAACTTCAGTGCAGTGTGGCTGGATGGAGAATGGAGAATATAGGGAGAGTGTGGAAAAGGGCTCCACACATGATGCTGGAAAGTTGGCCTCCTGTTCTCTTTTGCTTCCCAACTGCATGATCTTGAAGTGGGCATGCAACCTCTCTGAGTCTTCTCATTGCACCAATGAAGACTTCTTTGCCACTTTGAGAACTGTATTCAACAGGCCATATGATGACACTTTGAAACCTCTATGTTTGTGTGTGTGTGTTAGTCACTCAGTCATGTCCAACTCTTTGTGATCCCATGAACTGTGGCCATTCCCTTCTTCAAGAGATCTTCACAATTGTTCAGACCCAGGGATTGAATCTGGGTCTTCTGCGTTGCAGGCAGATTCTTTACCGTCTGAGCCACCAGGAAAACTCTTGCAACCTGTGCATGCGTGCTAAGTCGCGTCAGTTGTGTCCGACTCTTTGTGACTCTATGGACTGTAGTCCGCCAGGGCCTTCTGTTTGTGGGATTCTCCAGGCAAGAATACCAGAGTGGGTTGCCATGCCCTTCTCCAGGGGGTCTTCCCAACCCAGGGATGGAACCCCCGTCTCCTACATCTCCTGCATTAAGTTACAAATTGGAGGGATGATCTTTTTTCTTTGACATGTGCACACCACTTTATTTTTTAATTTGTGAGTCTTCATTGCTGTATGTGAACTTTCTCTAGTTGGGCTACTCTCTGGTTGCTGTGTGTGGGCTCTAGGGTGCGGGGCTTCAGTAGTTGTGGCGCACAGCCTCGGTAGTTGCAGCTTGAGGATTCTAGAGCACAGCCTCGGTAGTTGCAATGCAGTGGCCTAGCTGCCTCTTGGCATGTGGAATCTTCCCAGACCAGGGATCAAACCCGTGTCCCCTGCATTGGCAGGCGGATCCTTAACCACTGGACCACCAGGAAAGTCCTGGAGGGATGATTACATCACCTTTAAATATGAAGTGGTTAGATTATATGAACACTTTCAAGTATGTGAGTATGTTTGTGTGAGAGAGAACATGGAGAAGAGAGATATAATAAGAAAGGGAGAAAAGAGAGAGCGTAAGCCAGAAATGACCAGGTCTTACCCACAGCTCTCTGCTGGTCTCAGAGTTCCCTGGTGCTGCCACCTATACTTTCATCCTATGTAGGATGCAATTTCAGTCAGGGTGGATATA